AAACAATAGAAAAACCTAAAAGACTCAACCAAATTATCAATAATTTTTCAACGAAAGTTTTAAATTACTGAGAAGAATAGTCACTCATTGCCTCAAACATAAATGATTCTGTATTTATAGCGTGTGTATAGATATTACGATTAAAAGAAGAAAAGCAAATAAAGATAATACGTGACTGATATGCAGTCAAATATGTTAAAAAAGTCGGTCAGTATTTTCTAAAGAACAGTAGTGGTTATAATACTTATAAGAATATTGAGCTTAAATCAGATTCAAGGCAGGGCTGCGAAAACAAAAAAAAGATAAATATATTTTCTACCATCTAAATATAGTACATTATTTGAACCTTTGGCTGATCAAGGGCAAGATAGTTTTTAAGTGCATTAAACTAAGTATTTAATACAAATTAAAGTTTATTAAATCTATTTTTAAGTTATTATTGTTAGACATCATCTATTGTAATATATTTCATTTAAATTTTTTTTAATAAACTTCTCCCTTCAATTCTTTTAAGGCAACATTATATTTGAGCTAAAAATCTAGATTTTGAATATATGCCACAAATATTTACAAAATGTAGGTTTTTTCATTATGCCCAAAAATGACTTAAAATATTTATGGCCATTTCTTATGACAGCATAAAGCATATTATAATAATAATCTGTATTATAATATGTATTCCTGCCCCAACCTATGTTGTCGCCACACACTTTCACATACATACTTTCTATGGAAATTAGTATGTACTAGAGAGCCCAACTAAGTTTCCTAGGCTCCACGCATTTATTTAGGTTAAATGCAATCATATTTTCCCAAGGCATATAAAACCAATAAAACTTTTTTTGTTCTAGTATAAAATAAAATAGAAAAAACATAAAGAATACAAACTTTCTTTTATACATAAAAAAATAAAGTTTAACAAAAACAAAAATCAGCACTCAAAAACAAAATTATGAGTCATTAAATAGAAATAATTTAAAATACAAATTTTATGGAGTAAATATTTATAAATTACAGTTTTTTGCCCGGCATTGGGCGGATTTTCTACCTTAATTCCCGAATATTTCTACTTTTTGTTGTCTACAAGAGGGCTTATATGGGGGTAAGGGTAAATATGGGCCTATCCTTATAAATTTTGGTAGAAGAATTTACCTCCACATTAAAGTTATCTATGCGAATTTCATCAAGTTATTAGTGTTTATAAGTAAATTTTCAAGTCATTTTCGGAAGGGCAGTTTGTATGGGGACTAGGGTCAAATGAGGCCCGATCATTACGAGCGTCAGCAGTATCATTTAGACTTTAATAAAACTAAGTTTTGCAGATTTTTTTGACATACTAGAACATATAACATAATTAAGAGCTCGAAAGCCCTATTCGGGGGGAACGGCTAAGCAAAAAAATGGACCGATTTTAACCATTTTCAAAAGCTTCGTCCTTGGATCAAAAGAAGTGTATGTAGCATCATCAAATTATCTTCAAAATTGCGATCTTCAACGTGGCCACAAACTTTATATGGACACACAGACAGACGGACGGACATAAATCCACTCTGAAAGTGATTCTGTGCCGATTGGTATACTTTAGGGTGGCTGTAGGACCAATATTTTTGGAGTTACAAACATCAGCACAAACACACAATACCCTCCGCACTTTAGTGGTGTAGGGTTTAATAATTATAAGCAAAAAAGCCCTATTTGAGGGGTACGGTTGTATGAGTGCTACTATTTTGGATTTTTGGATCAAAAGAAGAGTATGTGACAAATGTTATCAAATTATATTGAAAAATGCTTTACTTGGACACAGAGACAGACAGACAGACAGACATTAATCGACTCATAAAGTGATTCTGAGCCGATTGGTATACATTAATATGGGTGTAGAATCAATATTTTTGTGTGTTACGAACCGCAGCACAAACATATAATACCCTCCCCATTGTAGTGGTGTAGGGTATAACATCATAAGGCTTCATATCAGGGTTGCCAAAATTGGTACAATTGTACTTTTTTGGTACAATTCGATCTTTAAAAGTGACGATGACCCATTTTGTAGAATTTTAAATATATTCCCTTATTGAAATAATAATTTAAAATTGTACTTTTAACACAAAGTTCAAAGAACTACCGACTTCGGTCAAATTTTTAATAAACTTCAGAAGAGGTCATTTTCAATTCTTCTTTATATTCTCTAATATTGTAAAGAATCTTGAAAGAGATTACAACCAAACAAGCAGGAATAACATTTACCAAAGAGAGTAATTTTTATGATTATTTTGTATTCGATCGCTTTTCTATGGAATTGTCTATTAACTAGACTTGGGACCAATCTAATGTCTTATCTATAGACTAGTCTGTTGTCTAGTTTATAAAATACTCTAGTCCATAAAGACATAATAGACTGTCTAGTCTATTGACTAAATGGTCTTGTTTATTGACTAATATAATGACTAATCTCTTTTTACTTTTTAAAGTATTTCTAGTGGCCTCCGGTAGGTTAGTGGTTAGTGTTCTAGTCTGGTAGAGGAGCGCACAACAGGCCCGATAGAGGCCTAGGTGTATTTCTTCGGATTTGATGTATATACATCCTCCTCTCAAACTAACTAACTAAAGTATTTCTAGGGACGATTCTATAAATCAGTCTTTGAACTAGTATAAAAACTACTCTATATACTAGTTTATTGTCTAGTTTATAGACTACCGTCTAGTCTATAGAATAGACTATTGCCTAGTCAATGGACTAGTATATTGACTAATGGACTTGCTTGAAATGCTTTTGTTTTATATTGATATAAATTTCCAAAAATATAGATTTGGTACAATCGGATTCAAAAAAGTACAATTTTAAATGCTGTTTTGTACAATTTGAAAATTCCATTTGCCATCCCTGCTTCATATGTTATGTGTTGTTCTCGTTCTTTTCAGATTTTTATAAACAAATTCAACGCAACAACAACATACATATGTATGTATAATATATGAAGCTGTAAGTAGTTGTTGTTGTTTATATCCAATTACAAAAATTCACATTTTTTTACAATACTTCATCTCGGTTATTTATGGAACGATTTTGTGGATTTTAAAAAGAAAACTTCTCGAAAGTATATCTAACAGAATTATAGACAAATATCCAGACAATCAGGAAATCTATTCACTCACTCACTGATTCATTTGAAGCAAGCATTGGTCGATAAACGTCCACCATATACGGCCAGACATAAAACTCTAACGCTCTGTCACATATTAAAAACTATTTATAAAGAAGTGGTTGGGAATTTTAGACATGTCAGTCTTATAGTTCAGATCTTGTCCCATCTGTTTACTAACTCTTTTCATGGATGTCGAACTCTCTTTTTAAAACACGCTTCGCTCTAAAACAAATTGCTTTGATTCTTTCCTAGTTTTCAATAATCATCAGATCTTTTGGTGGAGAATCCAATATAAAAACTGATTTTTGATCATAAATTTGTTTGACCATCGATTTTCATTAGGCCTTTAATATCTTCCGTATTCAAATCTTAGATCAATATATGAGAGTTAAAACACATTTTTCAAAGGCTCAGATATCTTACGAACTATTATTTTGAATCAATTTATTGAGCATAAATTCAAAAGTTTAGCTTCTGAAATCGGTCCACAAATGTATCAGTTGAAAAACTTTTCTTAAGCTTTTGAATATCGATTCAAAGACCAATGCATAATGTTTTAGAGATTAGAATAGAAAATGTACAAAATCGGTTCAAAAATAGTCTTATTTATCCATTATTCCATAATTGAAATCATGTTCACTATTTAGAATTTTGGAAATCATCATTCAAAATATTTAGAATTGAAACATCATTGTTACTAGTTATGAAAAAAATCAAATTTTTTAAGGCCCTTAGATATCTGACGAACTGAAATCTTCAATTAATAAAAGGTTAACAGATGGATCAATAGGAGAGATGCAAAAAGGCTTTCCAAATATCTAGAAATAATATATTACTTTTAAAATTTAAACAAATTCTTAAATGAAACTGATCACTGCAAGACATCTAATATGTTCTGCATACATTTACGATCTTCGTTTATTTTCTTTTCACAAAAAAATTTTTTAAATAATTTAAATATTTCATATTACTAAATCAATTAGACGTCTATTGAATTTCCTCTACATTATTTATTTAATTTCCTTTTTTTTATATTCACAGCAAATTACGAAAAAAACACGATTTTCTGTCTTTGTAACACATTTCGAACCTAAAAATCGATAAAATTTACAATTGCATAAAAATAGTTCAAAGAAAAACCAAAGGAAACTAGAAACAGAAATCTAAATCTTAATTATTTGGTTGTTATTGTTAAATAATGCGGAATATTTCTTGACACTTTCAAAAAAAAAAAAAAACAACAAACAAGAAAACGAATGAATAAATAAATAGATGATTGTTTAGCTTTACGTAGATTTTTACAAAAAAAATTTATTTTTATTTTTTTTTATATCTAGTATTAAAGTTGAATGTATTTAAATAGTTTTATATATGAATGGACCGAAATCCACAGCAATAACAACAACAACAAAAAGGTAAAAAATACGTTGAAGAGGATGACAACGACAGCAAATGGCCAACCAACAATCGTATTACCCCGCAGACAAATTGACCGTCATTTTGAGTTGTTACCAAAAAAACACACACACACACACACACATACAAAAACGATGATACACAAATACATCGGGTAGACTCATGTTTTTTATAATAAGGATGAATGGGTTGGTTAAATAGTTGGACAAACGTTAGCTGTAATTTAAATTAAATTCACTTTTTTCGATTTTTTTCTTTAGTTGAAATTTGTTTAGCGCTTTTACGTTGTAAAAAACACACACACACTCATTTATAGCAAATAGCAACAACAACAATTATAATTATTTGAAATTTCCATTATTTAAGCTGTTTTGAAATGATTGATTAAAAACCATTGATTAACAATAGAAAAAATTCACTTTTTTCACACACTCATACTTAAAATATTAAAAACTTTTTTTATTTATTTATTTTTCAAAATTTATTTCTTTTTATCTAATTAAAATTATGTATGTATTTTGCACTATTTTCAATAATCTATTATTTATTGTTTTAAGCTTTTTTTTTGGTTTTTTGATGTTTCTTTTATTTATTTTAAGAAGAAAAAAATGTTTTTATTAGAAAATTCCTCGCGCGTCCATAAGAAAAAACGTTTTAACCCACTAACGACGTATGCTCAACTGAATTCGTTAAATCGTAAGACTCATACAACAATCCCAATATGTTGGCTACTATTGGCAACGAGAATAACAAGACCAAATACAATAACAAAGAACACACAAAAATTATACTTATGTTACCGACCATTAAGCCATAAGTAATAGTCGACTTATGTTATGAACTACTAAATCAAGAATATTTTACGCATAATTGCAGATTTTCATTTCCACATATTAGATCATCTTTTGATCTTACGAACTCAAATCTTGTTGTTATTTCCACAAATGTATTTGTAATCAAGTTTCCAAAGATCGCTTATATCTTACGAACTTTAATCATGGACCAATTTGCCAATTTTTGTCTATCAATCTAATATCAATAGAATAGTTAAAATAATCTTTGCAAATTGGTTAAAAATTAGACAATAGAATTATGGAAAACAACTTTTCAAAGAAACCGCATATCTTATGAACTGAAATCGTTGACCCATACAAGGAGAATAGTTAAATTCAACTTTCCAAAGAGTCAGATACACTATATCTAAAAACAGAAATCTTACATACATTCTAGAATTTTCTATTAACTAAAATTTTGAACCAATTTCCATAATGTTAATATACACAATAAGGAAAATCAGTCCTCAATTGGTTAGTTTGTTAGTTTAAATCAAATTTACAAAGACCTCAGATTTCTACGAATAGAAATCTTGGACTATTTTAATAAGCATACATTCCGGATTTTTGTTATACAAAATCGTAATCTGAACAATCTCTTAATTTGAATGTCAATACGATCGGTAAAAATTCATTTAAATCCTTTCTAAACAGGTTGTATATATTATTGTATATATGCCAGAGATCGAATGGTTTATTTGAACATAAAGCCTTATTTATATACGATGACGAGCCCCCTCGACTCCACATTAAGCTATATAATCTTAAGATCTTGTGGAAGAGAGTCAGGTCAGATGTATATAAAAGTGAAAAGCCAAATCGGGCTACTAGCTCTATGTTGGAAAGAGTGTAAGGTAAGCATTAATACAGAAAAGCCATGCCCACTATTCTGCAATAAATTCCTAATATAATAGCATGGTCTGATGAAACCAATCACTCCCATCGGGACAATTGAAATTGAAAATTCAATGAACTTAGTCAATGTCCATTGAAGCCTTGGACTGATGCCGAACTTGAAGTTCCATGTTAGATATTTTTTCTAAGGGTCTGAACCTCAAACTTTATCCTATTAAGAGATAAAATAAGAAGCTGTCAAATATTTAGATAACTAACTAACTAACTAACTAAACTAACGAACGAAAAAAACGAAAATAACGAACGAAAAAAAAAGATAACTAAATAACTAAACTAACTAAAAAAAAAACTAAAGAACGAAAAAACGAAGAAAGAAACTAACTAACTAACGAAGAAGAACTAACTAACTACAACTAACTAACTAAAAGAACTAATAACTAACTAACTAAAAAAACTAACTAAAAAAAACTAAAACTAACTAACTAACTAAAAACTAACTAACTAACTAAACTAACTAACTAAACTAACTAACTAACTAACTAACTAACTAAACTAAACTAACTAACTAACTAACTAACTACTAACTAACTAACTAACTAACTAAACTAACTAACTAACTAACTAACTAACTAACTACTAACTAACTAACTAACTAACTAACTAACTAACTAACTAACTAACTAACTAACTAGCTAACTAACTACTAACTAGGAATATTGAAATTGACCACGTTCCCTCATTGAAACCATAGACCCTAAAGGGCCTAAAGGTCATTGGAATATTAGAAAGTCTGTATTGAGTTATAAATTTATATCATACATTACTTGGTAATGAGTGGTAGATAGCAATAACATTAATAGATTTTTTACTAGGATTTCTATACAATTATCTAAAGTACTTTTCTAATAAAGATGGAGTTACTAAGCCGTACCCCAGTTGAAGTTTTTCGGAAAAAGATAATGGTTAATGATTTGGTACGAGAAATTAACTTGTTAAGGGAGCATTGAGTAAGATAATAGCTGTAAAGCAGTATATAAATCCGGAAAGGCCAGTTAAGCATATATGTAAACAGTTATTTTTGGCCATTGTCGAACAAAAATAAGTAGTTAGTCCCACTTTGCTTCAATATTACTTGTTTTTGGGATATAACTAATTACTTTTTGAGTTAAACACAAAAGTTATAAATGCCACTATCGGTCATTAAAGTTCCCCATAAATTTTGATATCCAATAATTAATCACCACACATTTGTTACTTTGTAAACCTAAAATATAATTACTTGGTATAATGCATAATTCTTCTATTTTATTAGTAGTTGATTTAAAATTTTTAAAAATAATATTTTTTTATACGTAGTAGGTATTGATGATTGTGGTCACTTAGACCTTAGAGCAATTTTGTTTATAATCATTTTGGGTTTTCTTAAAGTTATTTAAATTAATCATTGTGCTCTTTCTTTCATTTACGTTTAGAAAATATGATTAATACAAATGTTCCATGTTTCATAAGACCTACAATTGTAGGAGTTTATTAATTGATTCAAATACTATAAAGTCTTTAACTAAAAACCCTTTAAGGATGTAGGGTATCTAGCAAGAAATTGAGAGAATAAAATGAAAACGAAGAGTTTTAGCGCATGAGTATATTTTCTTTACGAACAACAAAAGAAAAAATCACTTCAATTCAATAAATAATGCTCATAATAATATAAACTTTTTTATGTAAATTTTAGACAATAAATGAAATTATAAGAAAAAAATTACTAATTGCTAAAAAAAAAGAAAGAAATTAATTGAATTTCACACAACCAATAAAGAAAAAATGTTACTCTTGAACAAAGTTCCAAACAAAACCTTTAACCGGAAATCAAAGAAACAATACAGTAATAATAATAAATTTATTATTTATTGTTAAACAATTAAAGCAATCAAGATTCAATTAAAACTTTAAATAAATCATTTAATAAAAATATAACGAAAAAAAAAAACTAAGAGAACAAATAAAAACAATGAAAATGTTTAAATGAAAATAGAAAATAAAAATCTGTGACACTGAACAAGGCCATTTTGTAAAGAAACAAAAACAACAAAAACACACATGCATGAACTTGCACTACTAAACCTTTTTTTCATTCTCTATTTAGAAATTAGGAGCATGAACATGCATGCATGAGTTTGTTAAGTCTTCTATGTTTCCTAGAAAACCACGATGACACACACTCAGAACAGAACAGAACCGAACAAATAAACAACTGTCAAATAGTTTAATAACAAGTACAATCGCACCGTTGAACAAAAACAACAAAATGTGGTTGTGAAAACCACAAAATTAATTTAATCATATGGTTGAATGTATGTATGTACTATGTATGAATGCATCCATTTGACATGTGCATTAATGCATCACTTTTACCGTTACAAATACATAATTGAAAAAAAAAAAACAAAAACAGTCAACACTCATACGTACACATGTTCGTTGCAAAAGACATCATCCACTCACCACTCACTTAAGTACACCAACGCAAACAGCATGAAAAAGTTTATTTTTCATATTTGCTTTTCTAAACAGTTTTATTGTTTATTTTGTTTTCATGTCCTATTGACATAATGCCATGATTTTGCGCATATATAAACAATAATAAAACTTTTTAACAGCTGATTTGTTTTAATTAAGTAAACAACACAAAAAAGCTCAATAAAACAGAGAGAGTACTGCACTAAAAAGAGAAATAAAAACAACAAGAGAAAACTTAAACAGGGGGCTGCCAGATGTGGGTAAGTTAATCCCACAATGGCTGTATTCAAAAGTAAAAATTTTGGAATGTTTATTAGGGAGGCCCGAAAATGGAAAAATAAATCATATCTTAGAATTATTGGTACACAGAGGGAAAAAGAAATATACACGCCTGGTACCAAATTGACACCAAAAGTTTATAATTTTTCAATAACATCCGTTGTCAAAGTATATATATACGTACGACAATACTATGTAATGTTGACAATGCAACGTTGTTAACATTTAGACAACGGATGTGTATACAATTTAGATTTCGACAACGAATTGTTGCAATGTTGTCAACATTACATAGTGTTGTCGAACGTATGTATATACTTTGACAACGGATGTTATTGAAAAATTATAAACAGTTTGGTGTCAATTTGGTACCAGGCGTGTATATTTCTTTTTTCCCTCTGTGTACTGACGTCAATATTCGCAGAGGAGGATCGAAGGATTAACACAAGGTCTAAACTTGATTAAAATCGTAAAGCCAATTTCTGAACATTTCCTGAAGAATGTCTTTTAGGACTTCTTCTTCCAATATTCTTAACGAAAATGTGATCGAAAAAAGGCTCATCGGAAAGGGAGCTCATTTAAATTTATGATAAAAAACAATGTGCTGCCTATTCGTTACAGCTTGACTGCTTTACTATGGCATTACTAGTTGAATGATAAACGAAGATCTTTTGATATTTTTCTATGAATAATTCTTGAAGTCATCCTTGACAACATCTTGAAAAAAATCGTGTAAGTTTTTTGAGACATTATCTTGTTAAAATTTGGAATTTAGAGTCTTGTGTTGAATAAATGAGGGATCGATCAATCCAATAAAAATATATGTTATGGGATTCAAATCCTTACCGAAACGTACGAATCAGATCATGGTGAAAATAGCACAGAATAACCCTCTCTACTCCTGTTAATCTTAGTCCATGATCCATTGCTTCATCGAGACAAATTTAATCTAGAGACCTTATCAAGGTATATCCGTAGTGGCTGCATGAAAAACCAAAACAACAATCGCCTCCTGAGCTCTTGTATGGCACACTACTACGGCGACGAACCACCGAATTTCATCCATAGCAATATACATACATAATATTAATCATAACTTGACTTCTGGTAGTCAGGAGACCTTGAAATCTTTTAACAACACTAGCTTTCTCGAAAGTATTTCCTTGCATGATTCTATAGATATTCTGATCC